GGGGGGGGAGGGAGTGTGCCCTCTCCCTCCCGGGCATCCGCGGGGAATCACGGGGAGGCGAGACTTCCGTTAGGCCTCGCGCCGCGTCACGCCTGTCGAGGGGAGGCGATGTCAGCGGAGGCGCGGAGGCGTTTGAAGGGTGCTAAAGAGACGTCTTGTTGCCGCGCCGCCAGTCTCTGGCCGGGCGGTCTCTATGATGCCATGTCCTCCGCGAAGAGGAAGGGAAGGTCGCTCACAGTCGAGTTGGCTGTGTCTCGCTCTCGCTGGTTGGCCGCCGGCGCTGCCGCTGCCGCTCGCTGGGCGAGAAAGAGTTGAGAAGCATGGCGAAGAAGCGATCGGCGACCTAGTATGGGTCGGATAGCGGTTCCAGGTGGAGTCCCCCCCCCCCCTCTCTCTCTCCCTCTCTGCCTGGAGCCTGCGCCACCGCCTGGAGCAGTGCCGTGGGGCATAGGGCACTGCTTGCCAGCCATGCAGCCCCCCCCCCCCCCCTTCCCCTCTCCCTCTTCCTTGGCACGCGCCCATGGAGCCCATGCTACTCAGCCAGGCGTGGGGCCACTCCGGCGCGGCCGAGGCGCGGCCGTGCCCTGTCTCAGGAAGGCCTCAATAAAGACCCCAGCCCCCAGCCGTTGGCCTATCGGGTCCCAGAGTCTGGTATGTGTCTCGCCCTCGGTCTCGCCGGACCTTTGGCTGTGGCCGCGGCCTTGCCCAGGCAAGACAGACAGCGATCTTACCAACCAACGTTTTTGTATCTAATTTTGAGTCTCCCTTGTGCTGTCTGTCTGTTTGGCTTTTACCCACGCCTGCCTGCTCCTCCGATGGCCCTGTACCGTGGGTCTGTGTGTGTGTGTGTGTGTACGCGCGCGCGCACAAGGAGAGGGGGGGGGGGTCTTCTATGATCACGCACGCGCGGCAAACGCGAAGAGAAGACGAGAGATGCGGTTTGGAGATGTTTCCGCCCCACCGTAGGCCGTGGGCCGTTCCCAGTTCCCACGGGGAGCCCGGCGGCGGCGGTGCTTATGGTCCACATGGGCCGGTCAGGCTCGGCATGCGTGCGTGACCCGGCGGTTCGCGGCCCCCGGCCCCCGGCCCTGGCCTCCCCCACACAGGCTAGCCCAGCTGCGCGGCCGCGGCGAGCTCTCAGAGCTGAGCTAGCTTCTTCTTCGCCAGCAGTCCGTCACCAGCTGCCACTGCCCCCCGCCCCTCCTCCAGTGCTGCGCAATGCAGCAAATCCAGTTCTCGGAACGTCGCGCCGCTTACCTACATGGATCGCCTTGGGGACAATCATCGCCGGGCGCGTGACCAGAGGGAGCGACGGGCTGGTTTAATTTTGAGGCAAAATAATGAATCTGCCTAAAAATGGGGCCCCGCGGCGCTCGAGGAAGCAGGAGAAGGGCCCCTCCGGCGCCCGCGGCTCGACTGCACGTATTGTATGCAAAGGTAGGGTCGGTTGGGTAGCGGAAAAGGGGGAGAGGGGGGGGGGGGTGAAAGTACTTGTAATGATAAGTAGTCCTGAACGCACTGCATCCCCCCTTACCCGCCCACCACATCGTTGACATCGTGAACACAGTCGATGGACAGTCATCAGAGAATGCATGCTGACATTGGAGACCCAAAGACAGGGCAAGGGACCAGTAAGAAACTGAGATTTGCGCCACGAAAAGTTTAACACGGCCATAGGACGGAAAGTCACAAAAATTGCCCTAAAACTGTGGAAATTTCCGTTCTCTTAGGCGCGTCGGTGATTTTCTAAAGGCACTATGAAAGCACCTTCAAAATGTTAATGATCATGACTGCAGTCATATCCCCCCCCCCCTTCTTTTTTCCAGTGTAGCTGCGGCCGTGGACTGAGGGTATGGTTTCTCTCCCTGATAGGCGGCTATTTTAATCTCCTGTTACGAGAAAGAGCTGCTGCTCCTACGATCAGCGATCGGGCCCCATTGTGACTCGTGGCGTGCGTCCTCATGACAGGCTTTAAAGAGGCGTGGCCCGTGGCAGCGCCGCTGCCCGCGGCCCGCCCCGCACGGCTCTTCATTGCCCTGCACATCGCTTATCTCATGATGCACTATCGCTAGCAAATATTCCAAGTCTCTCAATTTCTATCAACATCTGTTTGGGACAAATATATCATCGCATGCGTTGTCATGGGGGGCGGCGCTGTGGCCCCGATGCCGGTCGGTCGGCGGAGCCGATCGCACTGGGGGAAAGTGGAGAGGGAGGGGGGAGGGGAGCACCGATGTAGCCGATCCTGTTTCCGTTATGCTAGTGCCGGCCACCTCTCATCAGCAGAGACACGCATTCTTCCTTGTCGCCTCGCGACGCGACCCTCCCCCCCCTCCCCCCAAATTGCTAATTGGCTAGCGGACGCCGTGGAAGCCTCCGGTGTGTGTCGGGGATGGGAGCTATTGGGGCACAATCCCCGGGTCTGGTTGATGTTCATTTCACCTGCTTGTCCCCCTTACCCCCGCCCCGCCCCGCCCCACCCCGCCCCGCTACCGTCGGCCTGCAGAGCGCCTGTGTCTCAGCGGGTAGGCAGTCCAGCAGCGCACGGGTGCCGAGCGGCGCTGCCCACCCTATCGGATCGCAGGCGCTCTGTGGCTCCTCTGTGGTGCGGCATGAGCTCGTTTCGGTTCGTCCTTTCCCTTTTCATGTTTCTCTCCTCTGACCGGACCCGTGTCTCCCCCGTTTCTGTTCCAGATCCTGTTCTGCACGCTCAACACGCACAAAGTGGACATGACCAAACTGCTCGGCGGCCAGATCGGACTGGACGACTTCATTTTCGTACACAGGAAAGGTATTTTTGTTTTCTTTTCGCACGAATGTGACGAGTTTGGGTACAGTCTGCCTGCAACCTGTCCGCCGCAATGTGATGGAGCCCCTCGGTGTGTTCGACAGGCCGGCCGAAGGAGATCGAGATCACCAAGACGGAGGAAGCGCTGGGGCTGACCATCACGGACAACGGGTCGGGCTACGCCTTCATCAAGCGCATCAAGGAGGGCAGCATCATTGACTCGGTGCAGTACATCCAGGTCGGCGACCACATCGAGAAGATCGACCGGGTGTCTGTCGTGGGGCGGCGGCACTTCGAGGTGGCCCGCATGCTCAAGGAGATCCCCAAGGGCGCCACCTTCACCCTTAGGCTCGTGGAGCCCCTGAAGGCCGGCTTTTGTAAGTATGCTCAAACGCCGTCAAAATAAAATTGGTGTAACGACGACTTCCGACTTCCCCCTTTCCAGAATATTTTCGATACAACTATGATAACGCCCACCCCTATTGTTCCAGCCAATATTGGACCTCGATCAGGACCTCGCCAAGGGAAGGGAAACTACGGTAGTGGGAAGGAGACCCTTCGGCTGCGGGGAAACGGCGGCGCTCAAATCGAAGAAATGGTGAGACACGTCTTAAGAAAACATGTGCCCCGCCTTCCATAGCAGACTCAGCGGGAATCATTGACATTAATTTCTTTTTCTAGCCTGATGCATCCATGCAGGCAGCTATAGACCATATCAACGGTCTATTGGAGAACTTTATGGGCATCAACGACACGGAACTAGGTGAGAAACAATAAAAAGAGCGCACTCCCGCGTTCCCCTAAAAAATAAACCTTTTTTTTTTTTTTCATTATTAGACTGAGTTAATAACAATTTTTCTTTTTCGTTCAGCAACACAACTCTGGGAAAAGGCGGAGGGCAAGACGAACAGCATGGACTTCGCTGAGGCTGTCGACAACTCGGACCTCGAAGAGTTAGGCTTACCTGATGACTTTATCATCGAACTGTGGGGAGTGATAACGGATGCTAGAGATGGAAGACTTAAGCCAAAGTAGGGATAGGCCTGCAGGCACGACGCCTGTGTGAATACTTGTAAGGGTTGATACCAATAGAAATTGCGGTCTTAAAGAGACACATCGGCCAGATATCCTTGCAGTGTCCTACAATGAGGGAAAGCACAAAAATGTCAAACCAAAGGAGAAGGGCTCTGGAAAATTTTGAATTCTGGTTGACCAGAATCGGTAATGTGTGTTATTTATGTTGTGTTCTTTGATTAAGTTAATTATTCTGACTTTGTTACAAAAGTGCCATTTAATTTAAATTACTGTTCCAACACAGCGGAACTTCAGTGGGTTTAATTATACTTTTAGCTGCTATAGTGAAGCCTCTTGTATGTATTGTTCAAAGCTTGATTTTCACTTGTTCTTTTTAAAATACTTGATGAGCTGTGCAGCTTGTTGTGCTAGTGTTACAGAAAAAGTGAAAAGTGATCAAATTTTTGGTGTTTATTAATGTTAAATGAAGAGACAAAATTAAAAATATCTAATTGAACTGAGCAGGTGACTTTCCTATGGACAGTACAAAATGACTGAAAGCTTCGAGTTCAGATTTGTTTTTATATTAAATGAAAACACCATTAAATAAAAGTATAATGCATTTGTACCATGGATTTGATTGAGTTGCATGCATTTGGATCAGTTATGCTGCCATCTTACAATTAGAAGTAGAGTGAATACCTCACTGTACTAGCTTATTTTTAAAAATTAGCCATTCTATTTTAAAGTCCCAATAGCGGTAGCAATTATTTTGCCACCACATAGTCATTACTTTAAGTAATGCACCAGTCCTTTTAGTCCTCCTTATGTTTACTTTGTAATGAATAATTAAATCTGTGAATTAGAGATTACAAGGACAAGTTTGGATGTAAGCATGCAGTAAACATTTTGAATCCAGCCATACTTATAAACATTCCATGTTAATAATGTAGATAGTGTTTATTGCAAGATGATGATAACAGTTCAAGAGAGGAAATGTTATTATTCAGGGTGACCAAAGGATGTACAGAAAGTCTTTGAGTGTTAAATGATTTGTACATAATAAATTGTTTGATTAATGACATATTTATAATTTATAGCCTGACCCAAAGTAATGTAATCTGACATTGAGAATATTAGGGGACAATGCAAGATTTCTCAGAAGCTCATCCACATTGACTCCAAAATGAGCAGCTTGCCTTCGACTCCTAAGGGGATTTAATTTCTTAGGAAACTTGACAAAACTTAACCTGGTCAAAAATAAAAGGCATAACTTCATTTTCTAAACATTTATTCATTTTATCACAGTCACCAACAAATTTAAGATCAAACTGTAACTGAATTTCGTGAGAATGATTTGCTTCAAACTACATCATAATGATTACATAGGAAACAGAGAAACATGCTACATGCTCTTGGAAAAGAACAGGTATGTAACTAGGTACTAATCAAAAAACATAAGATTTTTACATCTAGTCTGTCTTAATGAGCAATCTAACAGAAAAAAAGGGTGGAAAATGGGATCTATGCCAGAGATTTTTCTAGACACTTTATCACAATTATAAAAAAAAAGGAAAATGTTAATTGATAAAAACTAGAGAATTTATTCACAAGTTGGGAGGACCATGCTGCTTGTAGCAGTACTAATAAGAATTTAGTTTGCAACAAATTTGTAGCTGAATCGTTGATGAATAAACAACGCATTGGAATTAGATCAGTACAACTTGTGAGATAACAATACTTATAGATCAACAATCACAGTGATTCTATAGATTTGTTGAGTGCAAACAACAGTTCATGGCACAATATAAAACATATACAGTAGTATAGTCAATGATATTAACAATGATCTTACAAGTTAAACAACCGCCTATAGCAGCTCTGCATGATTATTTGCTTTGGTATTCACGGTTTATCAAAGGAAATTCAATTCCTTACAACTTACTAAAGAGACATCACAGAAATAAATATTGTTTCAGAACCACTAACACAAAGGGTGCTATTCTTCATGTGCTCATTATTCAACATCAAAGTGAGCCTTTAATAAATAGCCATTTAACTACCAAGCCATTTGGTTGAGATACTTGTATCACAAGCAGAGAGTTGTGGCATTTGGCAAAGTTTTGATTTGTGTGCAAAATCAATTAGCACCCTTTTTCATTGACCCATCCATGCATAAGGGTTAAGCCCCCACCCCTGATAGTAGCCCTGCGAGTATGCCTGCTGGGGGTACTGTTGGTAAGATAACGCTGGGTTTGCCTGGGCCGATTGAGACTGGCCTTGCCCCGAGGCGTTCTGACCTGGCCCGCCCGGCCCTGGTCCTCCTCCGGCAGGTGGCGGCGGTGGGGGTGGGGCGTGCATATGAAAGGGAAGGTTGGGGTTATAGAGCTGGGGCTTGGACTGGTAGTGATTGAAGGTGGGTCGTTCTAGTTCTCGCTCGCGTTCCCGTTCTCGCTCTCTCTCTCGCTCACGTTCGTCGTTGCTCATGCCTCGACTGCCAGCTCGGCCGCGTCCAAAGGGACCAGGTTCCCTTTCCCGGGAGTCCCTGCGGTCAAGGTCTCGCTGTCTTTCCCTGTCTCGTTCTCTGTCCCGTTCTCGGCCGTGGATTTCATCATAAGAGCCTGCAACACAATTTTATAATTAATTCAATATATTCTTGTGGCAAAGTTTGAAATGTGTACAATGTATCAGGATCACACACCGATGGACGATTTTCCATCGCGATCTTCACTGCTTTTGTCACCTGGAAAGGTAAAATTGAAACATTATAATAGGTATCATGTTTCCACTCTATAAAAAGTTCTGAACAAACATTAGTTACTAACCTTTTCCTTGATTTTGAGAGTCTTGGTTTGGATTTCCACTTGCATCAGACCAATTATCTGAAAAAGTATCAAATATTTACATTTAGACAATTTGGAATCAAAGGGTGAGGTGTATTGTTGTTTCTGAATTGTGTGCTCTATAAATAATTAATAAAGAAACGATGGACTAGTTTATAGAGGTAAGTAGTTTACATTAGCAATTAATTTTTTGAAATATATCATGACTTAAGAAACAACTTTCATCTTGAGCACACATAAATCAAAACAACAGCAGACCTCGGCCTTCTTCCTCTAAATTTCCTTACAAAAATGGTTATATCTTCTCATCTCCAGTCATGATGTTTCTCAAAATGCTGAGAAACATGTAAACTGGCCAAAAACATCTTGTCCACTTTCCAAATTGAACTTGCACACTGAGATTAAATAATATTTCTTTACCAAAATAGAAAGCGTGAAGATATGTACTAGGATGCATGCACAACTAAAGATAACAATAAAACATCTACACATTAAAATTTAATTTGTCACCACAACAAAAACAAGATTAGACAGTATGAAACTGGTTTGTATGTTCATGTTTTACTGGAACTTAATGTATTTTTCAGTTGTGATGACAAAGTTGATCTTTTGACATGATATTAATCTCTTAAACAGTCTTGTAATATGAAACATTATCTCTCATATCTCAAACCACAATGTTCTTTGTTTGTTTTTTGCTGTAAAGTACATAGAATATCAGAAAACCATAATAGAAATATCTGTCTACATTTTGCCGAAAGTCTTAACTTTTACAACAGATCTGGAGTATATTTACTTGATTTTCTTAGAACATAGACAGCAAGACAATACACTTTGTGCTGGACTATATTTTTTCATTCTTTCACGCATTGTAACTTAAAGTACATAATAGAAACAAAATCCGTTCTTGGTATCCTGATATAGAATGCCGACCACACAGCCTGGAGGATAGTTCAGGTTATGCAATACAAACAAATACCGACAAGGAGCCAAAACCGCTGAAGGCTCAGCAGCTAATTAAACCTTGTAGCCAAGTGTTGCATATCTTTTACAGCAGCCAGTAAAATCAAGTCTTCGCAAAATGAGTGGCAGCAGCAGCAGCAGCAGTGGCACAAGCAGCAATATTGTTCACGTCAGACTTCTGGGAGAGCTCACAGTACAAGGAGTGGAGTGTGAGGGGCAAGACAACTTTTAACCAATTAATGTTAATAATAGATGTGTATATATGGTCTGTTCCAGCGACAATCTGAAAAGCTTTCTAAGTAGAGGTGGAAACTGAAGTCTGAGATGCTGAATTCCTTCATCAAGGGGAGGTACTGTAATGATGGGATAGCAGGACCTTTAGTTCACTTTGTGTGTTTTGATCACTAGACATTGGATCTACAAACGGCACACCAAAGGCCTCACTGACTATCTCTTAGGGACCAAACACATTGGAATGTACAATACACCAGATGATCGAAGTCCTATACAATACAAGATTTACAATCCCAATGACACCAAAATATCACTGGTTTCCTGCATAGATAAATAATAGGATTAATAAAAAAAAAGGATGGGGACAACATCCATGAAGGAGAGGTAACACATTTTCTGTCCGTGCAGGCGCATTCAGATGCTTCTTAGTGTTGATGCTGTCCAATGTAAAATTAAAAAAAACATGCGACAGCAGAAAATTTTCTCTACTTCATGGGGATGACCTGGCTGGGTTTTCAAAACTCAGGGCTGACTCTTGAAGATACCAGATTTGGGCTGCTAGCTTGATACCTTGATACCATTAGGGTTACCAACCCCTAAACCAAAGAGTATATTTGTTTACAAAAAAAAGTAACCCTAGTTCCAGCAGGCTTATCTGTAACATGCTTATATATCGCCCCTAACTCTGGGCACTATCAACCGCAAGTAGTAACCACTGAAAATCAGGGCAAGAGCTTTAATTGGTTGCAGGTCATTATGCCACATTACCAACCTTGACCAATGGCAGACGAAGGTTGCTGCATCACCGTCTTGTCGCGGGGCGCGGGGCCTTGCCGGCCGTTTTGGGCGCTTCCCGGCTCAACACTTAGCTGCTGTCGTTGCTGATGGTTCATCTGAATCAGCTCCTCAATACTAGATATGGACAAAACAGTGAGATAGGAAACATGGTTCGATTTAACAAATGTCGCCAGCTGCATCTGATACCCAGAACATAGCAGATGTTGAACAAAATAGTAAAATTTAAATTAAAGGAAACAAATTATAAAACTGCTAGTTAAGATGCTTCATCACCATGGCAGTTGCTGTAATTGGTCTGAAAGAGCAAACTTACAGCCAAATCTTGAATTACAATTGGTATGAGTACAGCTCTCGAAAATAGCGCTAAAGTGAAAGATAAATGTTCCAAATGTATGTATGACTGTTTGAGTTAAGATAAATTTGAAAGAAAAGAGATAGATAGATAAGATATCAGTTTTGATTAAAACATGCTCATTTTAAATAAGGCTGTACCAAAATATCAAAAAGAGGTCATATTCCAATACTGGCATACAAACTCATGTTAAATGTTCAAATACTTTACAGCAAAGAAGACATTGCTTCCTCGACCATCTAGATAAAGAAATGTAATGTAACATAGATACAAACTTCTCAATGACATTAATGCTCAAAAATAAAGAGAAGTAATTTTGAGGAAGAAAAGAAACACAAAAACAATAGGCTAGCAAAACCAAAAATAAAATAAAAACTGAGCAAAATTAATTTCCTAATTTGAAGTTGTTATACCCTGTCAATCTCAATTGAAAAGAATAACCAACTCCCAAAGTCAAGGCAACTCAAAATTTTAGAAGTCCCAAGTGAACAATGTACGCACTTTGTGAGGGGGTCATGAGACAAAATACAATTTCTCTATCTTCCTTCCCTCATACTGTAGTAATCTTTTGAAAATGTAGTTTTAGTGTTTCTTATTTTTAAATTTAAAAACAAAAATGTTGAGAGGGTTAAGTGTAACAAATATAAAAGAAAGGCACTATTGTTGATGTCCTTTGAACACCTTAGGATTGCTGACAGAAAAAGTAGCTCAAAAAACCTATGGGAGATAAGAATGGCATATACATAATTTTTGAGGTTTAAAGTTACTAAGAGTTTCATTTTCTTTGATTAGAATATCAGATTAAGCCCTTAATGTAACCTGGAAGGGAAAAAAAATAGCCCTCCAACTTAAAGGTATTGGCAAGGGACAGTGATACTTTAAATTTTAGTCTGAGAGTTGTGATGAAGAGGAATCCTGTTTGGGTGTAAGCTCATTAGTGACAGACTCCACAAAATATTTTCAGTTACACTAAATTTAAACCACCACCAAACTGATGACAAAATTTAATTAATTTCACCACACGGAAAACAACCTGTAAAGATTCAAAGTACAAATCGGCACAAATTCATTATTAAAATTACAGCACTCACCCAATCCCCTGTCTTTGATGAGGTTGAGGTGAAGGTCTTCTTTCCTGATGCTGCTGGTTGTTTGATTGATTTTGTGTAGCACCTTGCCGTGTTACCTGCCATTGAAAAGTAAAGAAAAAACTTTAAAACTTTTAAAAGTTGTTTTAAATAAGAAAATCGTAGATTAGCCATTAGAAGTTTATTTACCTGTCCATTCTCTTGACAACTTGGACTTTTGGGATCTTTCTGTGATTGCTGTGAAGCTGGAGAAGAAGGTCCATGAGGTGCAGTTTGACCATGCATTGGACTCTGCCTACCAGGGGGTAGTTGATACTGCATGTGCTGCAGGTGAGGGGGTAGTTGTTGCTGATGAATAGGCATCCCAGATTGAGTCATGATTCCTGGCTGGTAGGTGGTGTGGGTGTGCATAGCAGATGAAACCTGAGCCGAAGAATGTGGAGGTGCCGGTGCTGGGACAGGTAGGGGAACAGCTACTGGGGCTTGTTGCTGAGGTGGCTGTAGATGAGGTGGTACAATGCCACCATGATGCATTTGAACAGGTGGAGGAACTTGGACTAGAGACTGCGATCCTTGGGTTGTCATAACAAACCCACCCTGCGTATTTAAAAGAGAGAAAGGATCACATTAAAAATAAGCACAAGAGAAAAAGGGAATAGGGCATGGCAAGCACTGCAGGTACACAATATCATACCTGAATTTGATTTGATTGAGACTGTGACTGCTGTTGCATTTGTTGAGCATGCTGATGGTCAAGAAGAGACTGATGAGGGGGTGTCTGAATCAAGGAGGCAGTAGAGCTTGAGGGATTTGCTTGCTGAAACTGAGAATACTCAATACTTTTAACTGCAAACAGTTTTAAATGAAGGAAGCATAATTTTTTATGAGAATAAAGAGTATACCTGTAGTGTGTAGTGCATTGGCACAGACTGAGAGATGAAATTTGCTTGAACTTGCTGATTGGCTTGAGATGTTTGTGTTTGAGCTTGCTGTGGAGGAGGAGGAGGTGGGGGAGGAACTGATATTATCTGTTGTTGGTGGGAACCTTGTGTTGGTTGGGGTGGAATCTGAAACTGTAACTGTGCATTCACCATGGGTGGTGGCTGGTGAAGAAGTGGTAGGCCTGCTTGGACATACAGGGACTGAAAAACAAATTGAATCAGGTATGAATTACAACAAACCAAATGAGAAGATTTGGAATAAAAACACAAATTAGTTAGGCTATCTTACATGCTGTGTTTGTTGGGGTGTTTGTGGAGGTGGTTGATGGAATAGACCTAGTACTTGCTGAGTTTGGGCCTGACTAGTCACAGTAGGAGGAGCTTGACTTAATAATACCTGCTGAATAGGAGGAGGCGGTTGGGCAAGCAAGTGCTGTTGAATTTGAGGTGGCTGTTGATTTGTAGGAGCTAGATGAAACTAAGGGAGCCAAAAGAAAGAAAAGAGCAGTCAAAGAAAAGAAGACTCTTGAATACAACAGCATAGATGACAGCATTCTAAACAAACCTGGGTACTAGGTAAATGGTGGACTTGGTGCAAAACATGCTGTGGCTGAGATGACTGCTGTGGAGGCTGAGATTGCTGCTGTTGAGGTGGAACCAAGGGACCCTGTTGAGTGGGAATATGCACACCAGGAGGAGGCAGCTGCACCTGCTGCTGCACTTGGGCTTGAATAAGCTGTTGCTGTTGAATCTGTTGGGGCTGCACAATGTTTGGTGGAGGCACACTAAGTGGTGGTGGTGGCACAACCAAAGGTCCAACTGCATATTTAGAAAGAGAGCACTAAATAAATATCAGATCAGTTCAGGAAAATTAAAAGGTTACATTCATGATAATAATTGTACTCTACCGTGCTGCTGTGTCAGAATAGTCGGCACATTTATATTTCCAATAGATGTTGTGACAAGACCAGCTTGTTGCAGCATCTCATGAGGTAGGGTAAGCAAACCAGTTTGCCCAACCGATCCAAGTTGAACAGTTTGCAACGCACCTAAAATTTCATTATTTATAAAATTTAATTCATGACACCTTCTTTGTTTCAAAGTTTAAGAAAATATTTTACCCTGTTGAAAGGCCAATAAGTGCTGGTGCTGTTGCTGTTGCTGCTGCTGCTGCTGCTGCTGTTGCTGCTGCTGCTGCTGTTGTTGTTGTTGTTGCTGCTGCTGTAGTTCTTGCTGCAAAGTCTCTATAAGGTTGATAGCTAAGGTGCGAGCTTCTCGAACTCCATCGGGGCGAGGATGTCTAGAAAAGTAATTAGGAGTTAGTACAATGAGTATCAAGATTTTCACTAATGAAGCAATTTCAACTTACTCAATGTAGAAATGGAGGGGTTCCAGTGATTCAGTCCCTGATGAAGGTTCAATGAAGCCTGAGCCTTTGCCTCGCAAAGTAACCATGGCACCAGTTTCATTGCGCATGTATTGTAAATTAGCTCCTCCCACCCCAAGTAGTTTGTTACGCAAGTCAAACGAACTGGGTGCACTATCCATTCCAGTAATAACCTTTTCCTAAAAGAAAACCAAAGAATTCACAGAAAAATAAAGATTTAAAAGTTAAGTACATGCACTATTTTTTAAACTCACAGCAATTGTGGGACTTTGAATCTGTGAAGGCAGGTTAATCATTGGTGGAGGAACTGATGTAAATTGTGCTGTTAAGATGGATGGTGGGGGTAAGCTTGTTGGTGGTGGTCCCATTTTAAAACGAGATTGCCGTGGTTGTGAAGGTGGGGGCCCATTTTGAATGCTGTGGTTCATCACAACTAATTCTATTCTTTCTAGAGCCACTGCAAAAAATGTAAGTCTATCAGAATACTTACGACTAAGAAAACCAATGATTTAGTAAGTAGATTGATATTTTAAAAACTTACAATTTATACTGGATTTTGACGGACCCTGTACGAAAAGATACAAAGCACGTTCACCACTTTGGTTAGGAATTTCCTCAGGATTTAGATATCGTCCTCGAGTTGAAACTGCAGCCCCTATATTCATAGAGATGCTAATAATCGAAAATAATTGCAAATAATTACTCTAAGTAGGCTGCTTCAAATAACGCAGTTAGGGAAGAAAAACATTTGCTCATTGCCAGAGCTATTTGTTGAGACTGTAATTTGAAGATTGAAATTCATAAACCAAGTTGCCTAAAACTACAAGAAGCAGCATAGAATGTGTTCTTTCATTCCTTTCAAAAATGTGACATTGGCAAAACCTACATAAACTTCTGGCTTCAAAATTTAGAAAAATAAAAAAAAAATGTTTGAAATTTAGATTTATGTTGCAGATTAATTGTGAACACCAACCTGAGTAGGCGCTAATTTCGTCTTGGATGACACCTTTAGTCAATAAGTTGCGTGCTGATATTGAAACGTTGTTGATTTCAAATTCAGCTGTGTGTATATCAGTGGAAGTTATTTTCGAGGGGAAACCAACCTGAGATGTGACAAAATCTGTCAGTGCCAAAATACAAGGTCATAGTCAACTTGCCATGTTATGACACACTTACACACCCTCATGAATGGAGGTGCTCTATTGATTTGCTCATTCGCTTTTAACATAGCATTTGGGGCAAAACTAGGAAGAGATATCCTACTCAATGTCAGCATACCCCTGGACAAAGAACAAAATTGGTTACATTAAAATGCATTCAATTGCTAATATCCACAGGCACAATCTTAAAACAAGTAAATTCATACGAAGAAAAATCAGTAAAACGAGATTTTGGATGAGTTTATCAAAAATAAATTGAGTGATGAATGAAATAATGGGTAGAAAGTTAATATTTTAGGCTAGGAAACCTGATTTTACTATTGCAAAGAGCGACTCAATAATTTCCTTCCCGTTACCTTTCTTGCAATTAAATTTGGTGAAGAAAGCATCCTCGATCATTTCGCATACACGAAAGTGTCGAAACACATAGGATTCGTGCTGAAACAAGCACAAATCATTCATGGATCAAAGATCAGATTGTTGGAGCACAGACCAATGCACCAGGTGGCGTTTAGAAATATTCCGCCTCGCTCCATGGGTAAACCACGGTCGATGCTGGCACAATTTCTTATCGATAATTTTTGACAAGAATCGGATGTTCTGAATTGCTCTTCTTTAATATTTCTTATAGAATATTTATTATTTTATGGTGTATCAACATCATCAGTCGAAAACACGAAAATGAAAATACTCAATGCGCATGCGCGAAGGCCTCCCCCTCCCCTCCCCCTTTCGTCTCGTAGTGGTATAGTGCATTGACTGACGTTACTATAGTCTGTCACAACACACTCTGGTTCTAATTTCGTGGCTTGCTCTCCAAAAATGACGAAACAGCAAATTGCTTTAGCTTTCTTTACAGAAAAGATTGACAAAAAACTGAAGTCAAGTCAAACAGATTAAAATGATTTTTTTATTACTTGTAACAGAGCATTTTCTTGTACAGGTTTCAGGTATAGGTATTTAAAAACATCAAAACAAATTGTATTAACATGACTAGAATAGAGATCTCTCATGATTCCAAACAAAAAATAATACTATATATCACACTTGCTTCTGTGCACTTGCCCTGAAAATATTAAGAAAATGTCCGTTTTACTGGAGTATTGCAAAATATGCCTCTGGGCCTTACTTATATGTTGTGCCTCATTTTCTGATGAGAAAAATTGTGCTAAATGCAAATCCAAAATTAAAAAAGGTGAAATTGAAATGTGACACCAAGCAAAACGTGTTAACTTCAGTAAGTGCAGTAAGTGACCTGTCCATTCGTCAAATTTTTTAAATCCACAAAATATCATCTTCTGTATTCTGTTGCATTGGACTAGATAGAGCAAGTTTTGTAAGATCGCTCTCAACCAGAGATGTATCAATTGGAACCCCTGAGACTTCTGTAAATAAATAAGCATTTTCGTTTTTTAAAAAAGAACAAACTGGCAGCAAATTACAGAAAAAGGTATTCATGAATAACACAATTGATATTATTACCAGTTGATGTTTTCAAGCGACCGGGAAGAAGTCTATTGTTTTGGGAAATACTGGCTGATATGGCCCTATTTTCCCCTAATCGAGATCCTATAGGAACAGCGGGTTCTTCTTCAGCCTCTTCAGATTCATGAATAGGTGATATTGGTTTCCGTACTGTAACAATTGTGAATTGTGATGATTAATTGCTGATTCAAAAAAACATTTCACATTACCATGACTAAAATTACCTTCAGAGCCAACTGCGCCAGCAGAATAAGATTCAGCTATTATGTCTAGCACAGATGTTATTATCTTTTTCATAACAGAGATATCAATTGATGGCTCATTAGAGGAGGAAGTTAAAGGGTCTTGTTTTTTATTGGCATTTAGGATATAACGAAGGGATGCATATGTAGCATCTTCCCAACCCTGTAAAAACATGGTCAATTGACATGTTTTAGAAATTTTATTTCAGTGATTTGGTGTAATTTTCATTTATTGCGCATACCTGATCATCTGAATCTGTAATTACAGGAGACATAGCAGAATAAAATGTTTTGGTGTATTTAGAAGGACTCTCAGACAGTTTCAACAAAGTGTGGATCAGTTCTACAGCACACCCCAAACCCCACTGTGAATTTTCAAGATCCTGGAAATGTAAACAGCGTGGTTATGCTACTCTTGTGTTCCAAAGAAATTTGAGAGTGACCTAGACTGACCTGAAAAACTTGTTCCAATCTGTGGCTTACACCTATTATTTCAATTTGAGTTGCTGTGAGGAGAGTATCCAATTGATTCAATGGAGCTGGTTTCTTATCCTTCATTTTTGTAAGCAATCTCCTTTCAATAGACCTGAATTGCACAGATAGTTGACCTAGTTCATCCTATCAAAATATTTAACAGATCAATTATAGAACATTGCAGTCTGAAAGTCTGAAGTTGCTTTTCTTAGTTCAAAGCCTCAACTAAAAATAAATGAAACCAGGTCTACTTAATACCTTGAGGTCTGCAACTTGTTTCCGAAATGTTAGATGAGACTCTATGGCAGAAAATAAGAGTTCTAGAGGTAGTGGTGATGATGAAGTCACATTGACTGATGACTGCTGTTCAGCATTATTTGAGAGGCGTTCAAGACGAGAAACTAGTTGTTTTACAAGTAAGGCCAGAGGTAAGATACTATCACTTTGCAGCCGGTATCGTGTACTCATCTTAGCAGCAATGACTGTGACCACTCTAGAGCCAAGTGAGCACCCTAAAATGTTTGGTCCTGCACTAGATGAGTTGAACTCTGCAAAAAAGAATGTACTTCATAATCAGTAAAAGAAGGAATAATTTTAAAAATTAATTTGCGTAAAACTGTTACCTGGAAAAATGTCCGTCAAGCTTATAACAGGTATATTGGTATTCAAAGTTATTTTTATCTCTGCCTCTTTGGCTGGATTACAAGGACGAGCCACAAGTCGAAGTGGGAGTTGGCAAGTGGAAGTAAGAATTCTAGGAATTCCAGATGCAGTTATGTATGATACAATAACTGACACTTCTAAAGACCAAACATACTCTGAAGCCGCACCTTTCACCGAGATGTAGCTTGCTACTTGATAGACTTCACCTGAGCAACAAAAGAAGAGGAAATAAAGGAACCTGTTTTAAGGGCAAGGTAACTACATAATAGAAATTTTTAAAGCAAAACGACTTACTTAGGGATGGTATTGTATGGGAAGGTGGATCAGCCAAAAGTGGTGAGTGGGCTACAACTGTTACTTGTACCTTAGTCAATGGGGCATGGGCTGAGTGAGGAGACAAATTTACTGCTACATAGCACACCTCTGATTCTCCACGACTCTCAGAATGTTGACTTGGTTTAACAGTTACAGAGAGCTCTCTTTCTGCAGCTGTGTTGGCCAATAGAACACCTACAGAAATAAAACAATAATTTACATTTTTAAAAAACAACATCCACCTTTCCAAAAATATTAGAGAAAAATCAATCTATTTATGCTTAAATATTGTAAGACAACTCTTGTTTTCTTACTGGAACTATCATTAAAAGCTCGAATTACAGTGCCCAGATAGTTAAGTTCTCTTTCAGCCTCTTGGTAGTCAATGGGCTTTGGTTCAATTGATGGTGCCACAAAGAGGGAGGGTTCTGTGCCTAAATAGCAGCACTGAAGCTCCCCTGTCTCAGACAGTAGCACTATGACTCCATCCATTCCCTTTTTCAGTGGAAAAAATGAACAAAATTTGATTATTTCCATTCAACCTTTCCTTTTAAAGGATTGACTAGATAGTCTAGATAGATTAAGTTATTTTACCTGAAGTGATGCACGAGAAATAGCAATTGGAGATATTGGAAGTTGTGCTGACCATCGAAGGGTAGTGTTATTCTGCACAAGAAGTGTTCCAGTGTCAGTGGCTATCAGTACCATCAGCAGACCCTCAGGAACTAAAAAGGAGAAAAAAAAGATTGTAAGTCCTGCATATAAATTCTGGAGTGCAACAAATTACTACAGACCTGTGCGATATGGAAAAAAACAGCGAGGGTGAAACTCAAACCGACACATGAACTTTAATGTGCCATGGTCCCTAAGACAAAACAAATTATGCTCCCCCAAAACAAGAATATCTACTTCTGAGGCAGAGTGAGCAACACAAGCAATATCAAGAGCGGATTCTCCAATATTTAGACTCCATTCTGGAATTAATAGTTTCTTGGCATCCTCACTTGTGTCTGCTAGGACTTGATATCTGAAAATGCATTAAATATGATGTTAACAACAACAAAATTAAAATTTTCAAAAAGGTTGTTTAAAAAATGAAAGAGGTACCTGTAACTATCTATGTGAAAGTGTGAATTGCATGTTAGAAATGCATCAGTTGAAGGGACAAAAATGAGTGGCCCTGGTAATAAAAAATTTGGTAGCTGTCTAGAAAAGACAAATGACTCCTGTTCATAGAATGATAGTGTTCCATCAAGTGCTTGCACACAGAGGAAGTCTCTTCCTTTGACTCCCCCAAAAGGCCCCACAATCAGACTGTATGCTGATCTTCGAAGCTGATGCTCATAGACAAAAACTAACGCACTTTGTTCACCTGATGCAAAAAAAAGGGGGGGGGGGAGTAAAACAAATATGTTTAGTAAACTGAAGACCTCAGAGGAGCCAAAATTTCATTTTTATGTGATGCAAATTACCATGATCTGTATTTCCTCCTCGGATCACCAAACTGTAAATGGCTACACTTCTGGGGTGCAGAACAGCTAAGTGGAACTGCTGAGATCCACTGAATAAACAGGAGTATAATATTTCATTTAAAATTTAAAATTCATTAAAATATTCTAACACATTGATTCCCGAGGTGGGGATTATAAACACAGCTTATTGTGGCCACACATGCGGTCATGTGGGACTTATCGAGTTAAATTTTACTCACGAGATAAATCTGCCAACATGTAGCTGCAAGACAGGGTGAGGTAAGCTTGTCTCAATGAGAAGGTCACTTGGCTTATAGCTGGGTGCCTCAGATGCAGTTGGTAGATTTGGACAGAACACTCTAATGTTTCCAACATGACTTCCAACAATTATCATAGATGTTTCATTACCACTGTTACCGAGACCAGATACACACAGAGAAGCCTTTGGGACACAGTTGAGAAAAATAATATAACATTCGCATCAGGTTTTAATGGAAGTTCTACAATAATACAGGAATATCTTCAAAATACCTGGTCAAAACCTTCTTCTTGACCACAGGATGTACTCCACCATTCTCGCGCTTTAAAAAGTGACATGGCAACTGAAAATGTTGGATCTTTTGGATCACAACATTCTATTAGGCAGGGTTATGGTGCCCAGTCAATCTTTGAGACAGACATTCCCTTGTACAAAATAAGCTTATGACACGTCATGAATTAGAAAAATACAAAGGCACTCTGAAAAAAACTAAAATTGGCAACTTTGGTATAATAAAATCATCCTTGCGATTAATTTCAGATTAGCAGTTGACTTTTTCAGCCGGAATGAATGTAAACAAATAACCCATAAACAGAAAGGTATTTCAATGCGGGGAGGGGAGAGGGAGGGGTGGGAGAAAGATAGAGGGGGAGAAGCAACGAACTTTACTATGACGTCATTGTTTTGGACAGGATGAAAATGAGAAATCTCTTCGCCACAAGCAGAAGAGCCCACGTGTTATTGCCGTCTGCTTGTGCTCTTGTGCTTGAGACAATTTGTGCTCTGCACAAATTTTACTTGCGTTCACTTTCGTTTATATTAGCATTGAAAGAGGTTGTCACGAATCTTCATCTGACAATGGGGAAAATAAATGTCACAATGTTGCGGTATTTAAGTAAAGAAGATTTTCGTGTGTTAACGGCTGTAAGCAAAGAAATAGTTGTAGGCTTTGAAGGGTTAACTGTACCAAAAATCCAAAAATCTCAATCAAATTTGATTTGTATTATTCTAGGTTGAAATGGGTATGAAGAACCATGAGTTAGTACCTGGGTCACTTGCTGCCTCAATCGCTAGTTTGAGACACGGTGGTGCTCACAAATTAATGAGAGAACTATGCAAACACCGTTTGCTCAGTTATGAACGAGGAAAGCATTGTATGTATTACCTGAAGAAGTCTAGAGAGCATTTTTACCCAATTTCCAATTTCATGCTTTTCATCAAAGTGCTGACTTTGTTTCTGAAAAATGTATTAAAATTTCTTTATTTTACTTGCAGATGATGGTTATCGCCTTACTAACCTTGGATATGATTACCTTGCCTTGAAAGCACTAACTAGCCGCGGAGTTGTTGCCTCATTTGGCAATCAAATTGGCGTTGGGAAGGAATCAAATATTTATGTTGTAGCCAATGAGGATGGAGAGCCCCTTTGCTTGAAGCTTCACAGGTAAAGCTTTCACAATCCTATTGCAATTTCTGCTAACATGCATATGTTTATCAATGTTCTTATTGTGATTACAGACTTGGGCGAACTTGTTTTCGCCGTCTTCGAGAAAAAAGGGACTACCATGCTCATCGTAATGCTGCATCTTGGATTTATCTGTCTCGCATATCAGCCACTAAAGAGTTTGCATATATGAAAGCACTTTATGAACGCGGTTTTCCAGTTCCCACTCCTATTGACTTTAATCGTCATTGTGTTATTATGAATCTAATTCAAGGGAGACCAATGTATGAACAAACTTTCTAAAAATCTTTTTCTTGTTAGCTTTCTCCCTTTCAACCCTAAATTTGAGCTTTTGTACATTAATGGATTAAATTCCTACAGGTGTCAACTCAATGAAGTCGAAGATGTTGAATGGTTATATGATGAACTCATGAATCTTATCATTAAATTCGGAAATTATGGTGTTATACATGGAGACTTTAATGAGTTTAATTTAATGATAACTGATGATGGAAAACCTATTGTGATTGACTTTCCTCAAATGGTATCAATCAATCATGTAAATGCTGAAATGTAAGTGTTTTTCTCTACCTTTCTAATTTTTCTATATTTTGGGACTGATTTTTAACTTTATTGAAAAATAGGTTTTTCATGCGAGATGTAAATTGCATCCGTGATTTCTTTAAGAGGAGATTTGGATATGAGAGTGAACACCATCCCACTTTTGCTGACATTGTGTGAGTATTTCTGAGATCCTGTTTAGTTAGAAGACTAAAACTTAGGTCAATGCTTAAATGACTTATCTTTTTGAACTCTATTCAGGCGTGAATCAGCTTTAGATGTTGAAGTTTCGGCCAGTGGATTTACCAAACAGATGGAGAAGGATCTCCTAGTGGAGATGGGTGTTGAAGAAGATGAGGTAGTTGGCAGTGATGACAATGATAGTGCAGAAAGTTCTGAAGATGATAGCAAAGATTTTGGCATTGAAACACTCAGGAAGCAAGTGGAACAAATTATTGTTGAAGATGAAGATAAATCCAGGAAAGGTACATCACAAGCAGTTGCTTGTAGTATCTATTCAGCAGACCATGAGGACAAAAGTACTACATCTACCAATTGTGAAACTTCTACATCTACTGCTGGTGTTTCTGGGAGGGAAAAAATACCCAATGATAACTTGGAACTATGTTCTGGAGAAACAAAAATGCTACGATCTAGAATTGATTCAGAGTGCTTAAGTGATGCATTTAGTGTTCGCAGTGCTAGGACTAATGGGTTATCAACAGCTTCAACTATCTCCCCTGATGTCATAAAGTCTAGAGTCCAAGTTGCTTTAAACCGGAGAGAGAAGCAGGCAGAAAGGAAAAGAATACAAGCCAAGGGAGAAGCAAGTGCCACAACAAGGTCTCGTAGAGATAATGCAAAGACAATTAAAGAATCTAATGGGATATGGGGGTGGGATTAAAAGTTTCCCTTGGGACTATAAATAAATAAAAGCAACAATATGATTGATTAAAATTTTCTTTATTTCAGTATTCATATAAAAGTTCTTACCATTTAGCTGGGTAACTTTCCTGTAAGTAGTACTTAAATGCTTCCATATTTTATTGAGGCAATGTTTCTGCCCATAATTGATTGATACAAATAGTGTAAGCTGTGTCAAAAGAACACAGAAACTTGTCAATTTGCTTACATTCACATCAGCCTAAACTTTGTAAAAATATAGTTTTTAAAATAAATTATACTAAATGGTAGGATAACAACCAACATGTGTTAAATCTATCCTGCAACAAGGCACAACATAATCAAATCGGTAACCGGACCAAGTATACAAAGAATGTTAAATCTATTAGTTCTAAATTATAGGATATATGGGAAAATATATGGTTTCTATGAATTCTTATTTAGGTGCCAAATGATTAACAAAGTTAACCAAGACTGCTAGTCATGCATTAAAACTGCCAGCCCTTTTTGTATTCCAAGCTTTCTTTTTAAATTGGCACAGCACAAAGCCTAAGAAGGCTCACCAACTCTGGGCTTCTCCACTCGACCCCGAAAGTCTCTACACCTATCTCTCTTTTACCAAAAAAGAGCCTGGTAAAAGAATTAGAAACAAAACGCTGAAAATTTAAGAAAGCAGGAGTAAACACACTCTGGCCCAACTTTGCTCAAAACCGCTGCATTTAAAAAAAATAATCAAGTTGATTAGTATTTCAGATTTGCTTTACAAATTATTCTGAGGAATGCAAAACTGAAAGTCAAAATATATAGGAATGATTAAATTTACCACAAACAACAAAGAAAATGAACTCAGGCATACTGGTGTCCGTACATAATTAACAACCAATTTTTATGCTAAAACAAATGATCATGCTACAGCTTTAAGGGTTTGAGGGCAACAATTCAGTCAAAATACATCCTTGATGAGTTTCAAAGACAACTCAGAAAAGGGGACAGGTCAATCAAGGAGTAAGCAAAGTAACAATATAGGTTGTAAGCATAAATATATAGAACTTGGAATCAGATTAACAAATAAAAATAACCAAAGTTAGATAAGATAACTAAACTATTAGTCTAACAAAAACATAAGATACTAAAATTCATCCTACTACTGTAAACTACAGAACCAGTAATAAATAATTAGAAACACTAATACTGTAATCATCTGATGATTTTACAAACATGACTGGGCACAAGTAGAGAGAAATCTATTCCATGTGTCAGAATTGGTCAAAACAACTTTGGCTTAACTAGTCAAAAAACCAGTAATAAAATAAGTAAAAGTAAAATTGCAAAACATGATATGCAAAACAAACAGCAGATTGAACAAATGCAAATCAAACAACCAACATATCTATCAGGACTTTGATGTTCAGAAAGTAAATTGAAACCTGAAGTTCACTAAATGAATGAACTGGTGAACCATAGCATTAAGAGAATAATTACCGGTAGCGGACAATTTTGTAAGAGTTGGGTAGACATGACGCTATTATGAAATGAATCACTATCATTTTAAATTATAAAACTGAAGGTAGAACGCATCCAGCACTCATCATGGTTTATCCTATTTAAAAAAAAGAAGTTTAAAAAATCCATTAGAAAGCATTTCAAATGCAAACTGTGAAAGGTTTAGGACAACTCACCATAATTTCCCAGCCTTCAACATCACCAGCAAGCTGATAGTGTTGCCGTCGCAATGCTGCCAAACGCTGCCTTTCTTGTTGCAGAGATGCCTCCAGTTCTAAAACCTTAACTTGACAGTCCATTTCAAGGCGTTTAGCCTGATGGAGTGTCAGACCGGACACATCTAGCTCTTCTGTAATATACAGACAATGTCATTATTTAACTTAAAGTCTGATATTAATAGCCAAGTTGGAGGAAACAAAAAGTTTACCATTATCTTCAATGAGTTGAGCACAGTCTTTTGCTGTTGCAACTACTTGTCCAGTTGCTTGAGTAACACCTCGCGATGCCTGTGACAATGCAGTAAGATTGGCACTATCTCGCGATGCTTTCACTCGACTTGCAACAACAAGCTGGGCAGTGCTAGCAGCAATCTCTTGAGATGCAACAATGAGAGATTCTAGTTTGCCCTCGCCACTAACCACCTTGTCAGCAGCCGTTCTGAAATATCAAATTAAATTATGATGTAAATGAACGAAACGAAAGGCAAAATATAAATAGTTTAACTAGAACAAGGTTGAGGACACATACAACAAAAACTTTGCTCCCATTGCAACAGCCTTAGCAGCAGAAATGAGGCCTTCAGTCCATTGATGGTTTCTCTTATAGAATTCTTTAGCAGAGGCGGTGCCCTAAAGAGGAAAAATAATGAGAGAATAGAATATCATGTATATAATTTTTGGAGTTGTGCTTCATTAAATCATTAGATAACAAAAAGAGAACATTTTACCTTTCCTTTAGCCACAATCTCAGCCTGTAAGAGGCGTGCTTTCTGAACAAGTATCCTAATAGCTAACATAAGAGCAGTACAAGTGTCTAGAATCTTTTCATTCACTTCTAGCTTTAGACCAGAGTCTCTTGTGCGAGATTTACTGAGAATTTCCTGTAAGATATAAGAGTCAATAAAATATTTGACCAAAATTTCAATAGAATAAAAAATAAATAAATATAAAACTTACAGCAATTCTGCTAGCAGCTTCCTCTATAGCTTTATCCATGTTTGCTAACTCAGTCTCAACCATATCACCAACGATTTCCACAGAATCACCCTTTATCTGACCAGTCAGTCTTTCAAGCAGACTTCCTAATTCATCCATTTTCTCCACAGCAGAGTCAGCGAGCTGCTTTACAACTTGGCTACCCTCTTCATCTTTGACACATCTTAATAGTGATAAAATTGAGCCACCAAAATCTTTACATTTTTCAGCCATATCTGAAAAAATTGATAGCATATTGTTGTGCACATAGCCAAATAATGATAAGAACAACAACTATATCCATAAACTGCTACATACGTTCTCCTAATTCAATGTCAGGAGAAGTGTTGGATGTTGCCTTGGCTTGCAATGTATAGGCAGCTGACAAATGGGCCATCTGAATCACATGACGTATAAGTTTTTCAAAATAGGACCAGTTCCCAATTACAGTCTCAACTGAGTGAGGTACCATAGTAGGGAGAGCAACAATCGAATCCCGCAGTGGTACTACCAAAGTTTCAAAGTAGTCTAAACACAGACCAATTGTATTAGGCAATGCATGCACAAATAAAGTAAGAACCATGAAAATACTATGAAACAAACCTGGAGTGCATGACAATGCTGATATAGCGGGGTTATCTACTTCATGAACAGATTTTTCCACTATAACTTCTGCTTCACTGATACAAGCAACTACAATATTCAAGAAAATGTTAGTTTTTTTCTTTTGAAATAATACATACATAATATTATAATCAATTACATCTTTACCTAAAATATTTTTGAGGGCATTATGCTGCTCTTGAGTTATTAGTTGAGCTTTCTGTAATTCGATTTGTGACTTTTCCAATTCTTTGGTTAAAACCTGACAACGATACAATGTTTGTGGATTGGTAAAATTGAAATTACACTTGAACTTGAGCACCAAAAGAAACAAGGGATCCCTGTTAAAAACTTACCAAAACTTTATCGCGATCAGCTACCAGTTCTGTCAATTGTGCTTCAACTTCTAATTTCCGCTTCTCTGCCTCTTCATTTGCCTTTTGAATTCCAGTGATCTGTTTATCCACATCTGCTTTCTGAAAGTAGAGCACAACATGTTCTGTCAGAGTTTTCAGAAAAAGGAGAAATGAAGTCACAAAGAACATAATTCTGTACTTGAAAGGCAGTGCTAAAACAATTAAAAGATTTCCAAGGTATCATCAGAAAGTGATCATAAGTTAGTATTTAAAATCTTTAGCAAATAGGATAGAAGAGAGTGGGAAATGGACAATGTGGTACAGGTTTGCTGCTATAGAAATTACTTTTTCAGCAACATTCTACCACTGTTGGCTCCCAAAGGTGCAAGTGCATAGTGCAAATCCACCACCACATCCACATCTAAAGGCTCATGACTATGCTGTCTGAAATTGCTAATTGAAATTTATACATTTGTTGAAAGTGCTCTTGCGGACCCTGGGGGCAAGACTGCGCACTGATATAAAAACATGATACATGTAATACAATAAACAATTAATGATAAGTTTAGATAAAAAATTTAAATTGCAAACGAATGTTGAGAAACTGTTACAGAAGGCAAAACCGTTGATGATCGAAAATTTCAAACAACATGGTAGTCATGATCAATTTTAAGAAAAAATGGTGGTAGAAGCCTTACTATAGATACTATCAGACTATTAGCAGCCTGAGCAAACAATGTCATCTTGTCATACACTTTCAAATCTTTCTCCAAACCTGCTTTCTGGAAAGGGTAGAAGTTAATTCGGAAAACAGAAAAGATAAGAATTTGTTCACATAATTTTGAAAACTTGAAAACCAGGAAAGTACCAACGAAGAAGTAACAAACATAAAACCAATTGTTGAGGTGTACTCAATTTATATTTTCCGAGAAAACATACCTGACGAAGGAGCTGGATGTGCTCTTCTCGCAGCTTGCTGTAGACTTCTTTGAGCCTCAAAAACTTATCTTCAAAAGCTTTGGCACGTTCTGAACAAGAAAGGTCATGATTAGATTAAGAAGATTTCAAATGTTTAAAGATTCTAAAAGAATGGGGAATCAAAAAATCAGTTTCAGCTAGGGCAAAAAAAAAAAAACAAAAAAAAACACTAAATAAAATTATAAATTGCAGTGAATTGATTTGAATTAGTCCTTATTTGAATTGGTTTTGAACTCTGAAACAGTCAATTTGTGTGTGTTTAAACTGGTCTAAATTTGAGATGGTCTGTAATAGTTTTAATTGAAATGAATTGGGTCTCTCAATGTGTTGAAATATTGGAATAGTGGTCTACATCAAAATGGTCAGTTGTAACCCCTTGCTTCTTAGAGCACGAATTTTAGAAAGGATGATGGGGAGGAATTGGGATGAAAGAGGAGGGGAACAAACAGATACAGTAGTGCAGGTTTGAGTTCCTATCTTTCTTAACTTCAAAACAAAAGCCCAGGAGGCAAAAGTCATGGAGAAGGGCGAAAGTTCATTTCTGGGGTGAGTACAACATGTGTCTACGTCTTGAACTTACTTTCAGCTTCCTCAGTTTTATCAGCAACAGTTGTCTGACGCATGAGGTCTTCATGAAGCTGTTTTTCTTGTAAAAGCTCAGAATCTTTGGTTGCTAGAGCCGTTTCCAAATCTGCTAGACGGTTATGCAGGCGATCCACAATTACATGGTGATCTTGTCTTAATTTATTATTTTCCTGTTGCAATTGCTCCACTTTGTGAATATGTTCTTGCTGTAATTTATCCATTCGTTGAAAGTGCTCTTGCTGCAATAGCTCTATTCGTTGTATCCATTCATCAGAGGGAGCAGCAGGGGCAAGCTGAGGCACACTCAAATCCACAAGGTCTCCTGACAATGAGCCTGATGGTGAGCCTGCATCAGAGGCATCATTAAATTCCGATGCATCAGCTTCAGATTGTTCCAAGTCTGTGGGCAGTCGCACAACAGGTGTCACATAGCCCAAAAACTCAGATTGAATCAAGAAATTTGGTGCTTTCTGTCACAAAAACAATTCAACACTTGTAAAAATTTGAACAAATACCTAGCACAGGAACATGCTCTTCTGTACAGAAGAAATAATAATCATCATAATACCTCTGGTAAAGGTGGTATAACAATTAGGTTGCGAAAATATTGCAAGGTGTTTGCACTCAAATAGAACTGTTTCAAGTCCTTGAACTGTTTTGAAAAACGTTCTCTATGACCTTGTAAAGTATCTGCAGGAAGCTCCGAATGAAGCTTGAAAAGAATCTTGACACAATAATCATATAACTGAGATGAGTCCTGAATGCATGGAATCAATGGGGCCAAACGGCATTGCCCACAGCTTGTCATTGAATTTGACCTTGACATGTCTAAAGATCCAAATACTGCAAAAGAAACAGGAAAACTTAGTTTTATAGAAAGGAAAATAAAGGTTATTCCAGGAGCAAAACTTACTGGCACTTTGAAGAGCAAGTATTTCATCCATGTAATCAAACATTTCTACAGCCATTTCAAAATAGTTATTAACATTATTTTCTCCAATAGAGTCAAGATCTTCTTGGGAAACTGCTAAGTTGCCAGGAAAGCGGGGGTTTCTCCTATGGAAGTCCAACTTTACAATCAGCAATTGAGTGTACTGCTGGATTAATTTTCCATAGCTTTCTTTCAGGTGACCCTGTGATTGATTTAATTTTAATAACATTGCTATTCAGGGTTTAGTGTCTCAAGTTGCAGTATAAGTTATGCATTAAAACTGAGAGTCAACGTACCCATAGCTTTCCGATATTTCTTATCTTGTCTTTGTATCTCTGAGACTGTGGAACAACTGATTCATAGCCTTCACGTAAAATTTTGTGAAGGACATGACAAAACTTCCATGCCACAATTCTGTTGCCCTCAAGAGGCAAACGATTTACACTCTCCCAAAAAGTCCGAGAACTCTTTTCCTGGAATGTGCCAATAATAGCACCTTGCAATGTTAAGGATTAAACACAAATTATGACAAGAATTTACCACATAACAGTAAAGTCTATTATTCAAAAAAAAAAAAAAAAAAAAAAAAGAGAGCACAATGCAACTGCATAAGGTCCACACAATAAAGGATACTGCGAACATGTTTTTCCTTTACTGGGCATTCAATTGCGTTTATGGCTTTACTGATGCTAACGTGCTGAAACAAACAATAACAAAAAAGAAAAAAGACAGTTTATTATTTCATCCTAATTAGATTTGATTTTGCATTTTGCTCAAAAGCTGTTCATATTGTAAATGCCACAGCCATATAAAGGCCACAGTTTTCATGAGAATGACCAAGTGCATAGAACTTATGTGGACTGAGGAAAGGTTAGACTTGTATCTAATCTCAATGTCGACTGGTCAGGACACAGGCCGCCGCCTCCACCCACTGTTATGACAGCTTAGGAATTGGTAGTGCAAGTGACAATAATTCTGCACCAGGTTTCAAGACATAGCAGTCAAACATTACGTATGTACCTGTTTGTAATAAAACGAGGGAGGAAATTGTGCTAGGCCGGACATTCTTTCTGTATTACCTTAGCGGCCCACAACAGAATAGCAACTAAAAGTCATTGATAAGATTGTTATCTCAACCTGTCATCCTGTCTCATGGCTTAATCTTATCTCAGTGGGGATCAGAATGGACATTGAACTTAATCATGCACAGAACAGGTTAAACTTAGGCACCACTAGTATCAGAGAGCTGTAATACACATAGTAGTGAGTAATTATTGTGCTGAATGACAATCAACAGTACTAGTCTAAGATCATTGATTGTTGATTGCTTTAAAGACTTTCCACAGCAATGAACCCAAGTCCATACCTAAAGATAATAATGATGCAGAAATGTAACAAAAGAGAGAAAAAGTGGATATCCCGGAAACTTCACAAAATGATGCACTTCAAATATCTTTTAAGGCAGAGCTGCCACTTAAGGCTAGTTGGACATGGTATACTCGGTATACTACAAAGCCCTATAACTACGCTGTGATTGATAAAATTATATTAACTTGACACTCACAAAACTGGCCACTTGAAGCCCTCCACTAACTCGACTTTAGATAATTTCACAATTGAAAAATTAAAAGACGAAATGATCAAGTTCCGAAAGAAAAACGAAACAAACCTGAAATTTCTCAAAGTTTTCTCGTTCCAGCTCCAGGCTAGATTTTCTAGGCTGAAGAACTCTTGGCAATGATATAGACGCCATAATGTCACAAATAGAGAGCAAGACTTCACAAAACAGCGACTTTAAAGGCTTAACCCATCTGCATGTAACGAAGATACGGTCTCACAAACTGCTGGTTGTTGGTTATGGTTTAATTGTTTCTCTCTCCCCTTTCCCAACAACATTTATGGCCTGTCCCTGTCTCTCTTTCTCCCACCTCCTACATCCTACATCTCACTCTCACTCTTTCTTCTTTCGAGCTCTTTCTATTGTGCTTGTTCTCTCTCTCCTTTTCCCTTGTTTTCGTTTTCTCCTGTCTGGCTCTTTTCATTGTGCGAATAAGGTTTTGGGGGTTGCCTGATTGTTGACATATGCACACAAGTGAAGTATTTCGCTATTTTCCTAGGTATTTCAATTAAACTCGTCTGTGCGTAGTTAGAAGTTTACTATGAAGATCCACATTAAGGTTTTACAAGGACAAGAGTGTTCTATGGAGGTAAGTTAGTTGCATCTTTTCATCCTCTTATTTTCCATTTAACCTGTATTTTTCTGAAATGAAACAAAACCAGTCAGATCAGTTTTACCCGTCATTTTTTCTACCTCTAATTGAATCGGTTACTATATCTACGTAGGTGAGATAATCCATTACCTACAAACATTTAAATATCCCTCCCCTCCCCCTCAAAAATAAAGAAGTTTTCATAGGTTACAATACAAAGCACTTTAAAAGCATTGGTGGGTCTTCTTTCAAGGATTTTTTCTGCAGTTTACACCCTATTCCCAATTAATTTGAGAGACTTTACATTTCCTCTTTTGACTCGGCCAAGAAAGAAAGTTTTCCCTCAAACTTGTTGATTGAGTTTCTCCTGTTGTGCCCTACCCCACTTGCTACCGTCCATACATTTGCCGAAAATTTGTTTCAGGTTTCATCAGATATGTCTGTTTTGGAATTGAAGGAACAGGTTTTTAGTAGATTAAAAATACCCGTAAGTCAACAAAAATTCCTTGTGAGTGGAAAAACTCTTGCAGGTCAGTCCTCTGTTTCAATTACTGTAACAGCCAAAGTTTTAATTGCCATAATTAAGTATCCCATTAATGAGTGATTTGTCTTTTTTTGCAGATGAGAAATCATTAGATCACTATGACGTAAAAGAAGGAACAAAACTGATTGTAGCAATTCGTAAGACTGAAGATGGTGGTCCAGATGCTAATCTATTGCGCTCAGCAGCTTACACATTCCTTAGAAGATTTTACACTGAACCAGAGGCTCGTAAAATTCAAGAAGAGTTCATAAAGGTATTGATTCAGAACCAATTGTTATCAAGTCATTTGTCTGTTTGTTTAAAGGATTATCATATTTCTTTATTCCTCTTATCTCTTTTCAGAGCTTTCATAAATCTGTGAGTAGTTTGAGCTTGGATGATTTGGAACTAATAGCTACAATGCATATTAATGAAGTGAAGTAGGTAGAAATAAGGTGTGTGGATTCAACAAGTACGTTAAGGGGAAGTTTCTGAAGCATTCTGGCCACTTGGTGTCCATTTTCATTTGTTAATTTTTATTGATTTTGTAAGATGAGATGTAATTGAGAGAGAAAGCACATCTGAATGTTATCTACTTACATTGTACCAAATGAAACAATAAATTAAATTTATTTTGAATAATGTTAAAATCTGACCTCATTCTTACACCTTTTTTATTTTGGTTTTCAAAACTAATTTCCAGGTGGTTTAATTTTTTCCTTGTTGGTCCCAGGATAGAAAGTTCTAAACACTCGTCTAATTTTACGGCAATACAGGTTGTCTTCCTCAGTTCTCAAAGCGTTAGGTTTATAAATAGGGGGATGATCATCATATCGTCTGCAATCAGGTGGTGGCTGTTGACCCATGAACCATGCTCTCTTATTCATCTGTGGCAAGTCATTATACTTGATTCGGAATATTTTCTCCCATGCATAAACCTAAGATAAAACAGAGAAAAACGAAACAACAAGATGTTAGTTTTATTTGAAACACTGCATTAGACTAATTCTTGCTTGATTCTAAAATAAAACTACCTCTGGTTTTGGTTGCACTCTGGGACGGTTAGATGTGATGAACTTATACTGATTTTCCAACCAATTCCGCCTTTCTTCATATTCTATGTCAGCAACATATGGCTTCTCTGAGAGGTAAGGTCTCATTTCTAAGCCTACTCTTTCTTTTGGCTCCAATAAATACATTTTGATGATTTGTTTGAGGACATTTTCATTAAACCCTAAAAAAT